GGAGCCCAACAACTGTTCTATTCTTATCCATTAGTAGAGGTTGAAGAAGACAGCTCAGTTGTCTATTTCTGTTCTCCCCATCATAACATTCTTAGACACCTATCTTGCTATCAGCCCAGGTATCTATTTTCCTTTCTTCAAGCAACAGCAGATTATCCCAGTTACTAGTAAACATGTTGTGCTTGCTTGCTCGGCAGCTGTTATAGCCTGTAATGGGGCTGTTTAACCTCTGTCCTCTGCTTAATGGGTTGTGAAGTCAGATCCCAAGCTACTAATCCTCTTTCTTGTCTTATTGCTGCTCATTACAAGACACATCAATCATTAACTGTTTGGAACGAGGAAGGGCAAAAATGTGCGGTCTTCTAGGAGAACTCTGGAACTAACCTTTGGATTCTAGAGATTTCTGTGAATAGGCTGGGACACAAAGCTGCAGTTGTGTGTGTGTGGGAGGGGGGCAGTTAGAAGAAGCTAGAGCTCAGGATGACCAGGAGGTAGGTGAGGATTTGAGGTGACGGGGAAAGCCCTATTTCAGTCATACTTCACAAGGGTGAAGGGTTGGGTAAATGTGCCAACCAACATGGAACTAAGATGGTGTCAAAAAGGGGAGGCTGCTGTATGTGGACAGCTTCTCCACATGGGCCTAAATGCCTTTTAAGAGCCCTGTTTCTCTAGGCTGTAAGGAAACTGATTTTCTTTAAAACATGTTTCAGATGTTTTTAAGAAACCATCAATAAATCCACTTCTCCACTGAAACTTCTCTGCTAGAGCTTTTCTTTTCTTAAATGAGCTTTTAAACGTTTCTGACCCCAAGGGTTTCACCACAGGCTTCATCTGCAAATGGGAAGTGCTGAACTTTGTGCTTCGTACAAAATGACACGGAATATAAACAGTGCTTTCAGGAGGAAAATGTGCCAACCAACATGGAACTGAGATGGTGTCAAAAGGGGGAGGCTGCTGTATGTGGACAGCTTCTCCACATGGGCCTAAATGCCTTTTAAGAGCCCTGTTTCTCTAGGCTGTAAGGAAACTGATTTTCTTTAAAACATGTTTCAGATGTTTTTAAGAAACCATCAATAAATCCACTTCTCCACTGAAACTTCTCTGCTAGAGCTTTTCTTTTCTTAAATGAGCTTTTAAACGTTTCTGACCCCAAGGGTTTCACCACAGGCTTCATCTGCAAATGGGAAGTGCTGAACTTTGTGCTTCGTACAAAATGACACGGAATATAAACAGTGCTTTCAGGAGGAATGAAGAAGAGCAGAAAGACATTGAAAAAAGCTTGGATGTAGCAAGATAAGGGGGAAATATTACGAATGAATTTATTTCTCTCTCTCTCTCTCTCTCTGCTTTCCAGAGAGCAGATGTGGAAGACCTCTGACTTTCCAGATGTCACTGGGCTATACAGTATTTCCCATCAGCCCTGATTTTGGCCAGGCTGCCCAGGGCTGGTGGGCAATGGAATCCAACAACAGTAAAAGGGCCACATATTCCTCTCCCCTGCTCTAGGGACATATTATTTTGAACATGGAATGGATGCAGTTGAATGGGTTGAGGCTGAACTCGGACGAGACGGAGGTCTTGAGGGTGGGTGGTCCCTCCGTCAGCAGTTTGGGTGACTCCCTTTCTTTTGGGGAGACAGCCCTCTCCGCAAAGAGCGAGGTTCGCAGCTTGGGGATACATCTGGACCCGGCCCTTATCATGGAAACCTAGGTGGCGTCCGTGGTCCGTTCCGCCTATTTTCATCTACGGCGGATTGTCCAGCTGCAACCATATCTTGACGGGGGGGCCTCACTACTCTTGTCCACGTGCTCGTAATCTCGAAGTTAGACCATTGTAACACTCTCTATGTGAGGCTGCCTTTGAGATTGATGCGGAAACTTCAAATGGTGCAAAATGTGGCAGCCAGGTTTCTTAGTGGGGTGAGAAAATATCAGCATATCTCCCCCACCCTGGCTGCTTTGCACTGGTTGCCCATTCGTTTCCGCATTGATTTCAAAGTGCTAATGATCACGTATAAAGCCCTAAATGGTTTGGGACCTCGATACCTGGCAGATTGTCTTCTCCCACCTAGAACTACCTGAATCATTCGGCAAAGCCAGCAGGGACGCCTGAGGGGCCTTATGCCGAGAGAGGCCTGGAAGGAAAGAACAAGAAACTGGGCCTTCTCGGCAGTGGCCCCTTGGCTGTGGAATACTCTCCCAATGGAAATCCGTCTGGCTCCCTCGCTGGGCGTTTTTAAAAGCCATTTAAAAACCTGGCTCTTTAGGCAGGCATTCCATCCAGTCAATTAACTGATTTTCTGTCTCTTAACTATCCCATCTTGCTAATGTATATAGATATTAGTAGGTTTTATGTATGTTATTTTATTGTATTTTATTACTCATGTAAGCCGCCCTGAGTACACCTTGTCTAGAGGGGCGGGGTATAAGTTCAATAAAAGTAAAAGTAAAGTAAAGTAACATTCTTGCTTGAGTTTTGTTCTGAGGATGGTATTTTGATAGGTCAAAAATTTGCTATGATGCTACTGCATTTGGTTGGAAAGGCCAACTACCTTTATCAAGGGCTGTGCTAGGTTGCAGTGACTCCAGTTTCATGGGGATGGTGAATCCATCCCAGGCTTTACCCAGACCTTTAAAGGACCTATCCATTTTGCAGAACATAATTTGAGAATAGGATTCAGAGCCTTGAGGAGCACTTACAGAGTTCAGATTAAAACCCTAAGCAGATCCATGATACCTGCAAAAACAGAGTTCATCAGAGTCCTAATTGTCTCTTAGCATATAAAGCAGTGGCTGCCTGAGGCAGAAAGCATGTGTCATGAAAAGGTAGGGAATATTTAACTTAGCTTTGTTCTTATTGTACTTTATGAAGGAGCCACTTGGGAATTTTCTAGCTTGTGCAGCAAAATAAACATGGACACTATGGATTTTGACAAGCGACTCTGGTGCACTGCCTGCCTCAGGCAGCAATATCTCTTGGACTAGTTCTATTCTCATCTAAATGCCTTGTCTTTCACTGAGGCTCAAATCTATTTTACTGGCAGACAAAGGAGCTATGAAGTAGTCTTGTCCTGTTTGCCAGAAAATGGGTCTGTTCTTGTCCTTCCTTTGCCTCCAGCAGGCTCTTTCCTCTTCAACCCTTCTTTATTTAGCTGATGTAAAGAGGTCTCCATCTGGTTTTAAGGGCGCCCAGGGAACCATTGAGTTAGGGAAAGCTTACACTGCACTCAGTTCATCTTCATATGCCTGAGCCCACTATTATTTTATGAGGTCTCGGGAGAAAGATAAAGCTGGTGTGTTCCAACAACTGCCCATAAATCACAGACGAAGAAATGGAATCATTGCAGAGAATCTGGTAGGTGCGGCAGCTCCCCCCTGTGTAGCTTAAGCAAAAAGATCACAGGGCAGTTGTGGCAATAATCTCCTAGTGAATTTTGGACCTCATCTTAACAATCCTCCTCACTATGCTGTTAAGTGGAGTCAAAAATGCAGATAGCTCCCTCAACCGATGTATTTTTTTGCAGTACAGTCGTGGCCCACTTTACGATTGCCCTGCATTATGACGAAACTGCATTATGATGACCTTTTTGCGATCGCTTTTGCAATTGCAAAATGATGGTCTGAATAGGGATTTTTCGCTTTGTGATGATCGGTTCCCTGCTTCGGGAACCGATTCTTCGCAAAACGACGGGTTTTCGGACAGCTGATCGGCGGTTTCAAAATGACCACCAGATAAATAAAATTGCTCCCCGCTGTTTTCTGGGACGGATTCCTCGCTGCACAGGCACCGAAAATGGCTGCCCTATGGAGGATCTTCGCCGGATGGTGAGTTTCCAGCCTGTTGGAATGCATTGAAAGGGTTTCAATGCGTTTCAATGGGCTTTTTATTTTCACATTACGACGTTTTCGTTCTACAGTGATTTCACTGGAACGAATTAACATCGTAATGTGAGGCACCACTGTACAATAGGGATAGCTTACAATATGGTGGGTGGCTGGGAAAAACCCATCTCCCCTCCTGCATCTCAGCAATTGTGAGAATTGTGGCGAAGATCAGAGGGAACTGGAAAGGTGCTCCCAGTTAATTTGCTGTCTGAGGGCGACCAGGGAAGGACACAATCCCTTCACGCCAGTCAGATTAAAGTGGATAGTTTATCCTAGTCTGGTCCTGTTGTTTTAACACCAGCATTTCTCTTTCCCCATATCAGAGCATGTTGTTTTTATGTCCAATTACTTCTGAGTCATGGGAACCCTCTGAATTAACAACCTACAAACGTTCCTATCACCAAGAGCCCTGCTGAGGTCTTGTAAACAAAAGACAGTGGCTTCTTTTGTTAAGTCAATCCATCTCACATAAGGGTTTTCCTTTTTTCTTACTGCTTTTCGTTTTTTAACATCATTGTTTTTTTTCCCAGTGTATCCCAGTGTATCTTGTCTTATATGGACCATTGAAGTATGATAGCCTCAGTTTAGCTCCAAGTAAACATTCAGAGTCAATTTGATCTTGAGCCTACTTATTTGTCGTTCTGGTGTTCCAGGGGAAATTTGCCTCCTTTCAGTTATTGATTTTTCCCCCCACCTCCCCAAATGTAATAATTTTAGAACTGAAGAGTTGGAAGGGATCCTATGGACCATTGAGTCCAGCTGCTATCAAGGAGGAATGGTGGGAATCAAACACCCAGTCTCTGATTTTGCAACCAGATACCTAAAGCTGGGATCCCCAACCCCCCGTGGTCCGTGACCCAGTACTGGGCCTTGGCCTTGGCAGGACTGGGCTGCGGAGACAGATCTCCCCCCCCCCGCATGTACGCTTCCCACGCATGCACAAATGTATGCACGATCCCCCCTCCACATGCAATCATGGGTGCCCCCCCGTGCACACACGGGTGCCCCCCATGGATGCCACCCCCCCTAGCCCCACACTGGTCCGTGGTTCGGAAAAGGTTGGGGACCACTGACCTAAAGCTTTTGATCTTGTTTTTTTCAAAGAGGGATTCTTACCTTAGTTCTAAGAAAGAATTACATTTGGAAATAATGATGGGATGCATTTCTCCGCAGGTAGCAATCCAGGCCAGGCTCAAACTGGAGTCAGAGAAAAAAAGCCTTTGAAAATGTCATGTTTGGAATTATTATTTATTACAATTATTTATTTATCACTTTTCTGATGCACGGCAAGACATACAAAACATTATTTGAAAAAATGGAGGAAGTCATTTTAAAGTCCAGTTTGAAATTCTTCAAGAACAAATGAAATATTCTAGGATGCATGTAAGTTTTACCCTGTATTATAATGGCCTCTTGTAAGACTCCTAACAGGGAGTGAAATTGGGTAGAAGAAATTCTCCAGCAGTTGTTTAGGCGCCAAGGTTGATCTCGTGGCACAGTGGTTAAACCGCTGTACTGCAGCCAAAACTGTGCTCACGACCAGGGGTTCAAATCCCAGGTAGCCGGCTCAAGGTTGACTCAGCCTTCTATCCTTCCGAGGTCAGTAAAATGAGTACTGTACCCAGCTCACTGGGGGGCGGGGAATGTGTAGCCAGCATCATTGTAAACCACCCAGAGAGTGCTTGAAGCACTATGGGGCGGTGTATAAATACAATAAATAAATAAATAAAAAAATAAGAAGCACACTTTGCTTTGCATTTTTAGCACAGAGTTCCATTGATTAAAACCTGCTTACAAGAATGTTGTGCACATGTTTCCAACACTTTTTTGTTTGCTAGTTTTGTGAATATCATTACAAACTTTTAAAAGTACTGTACCATAAACTCCAAGCTTAAGGTGTGTTTCCATTCACATTTGGTTCTAGGGGATGCACATGGTATCACTTTCGGGTAGTGTGGGCAGCATATAAGTTAAATAAATAAATAAATAAACAAACAAATAAATAACAGGTGAACCTGGTAGATTTTTTGGCCATTTATACAGTAAGTCATACATGCTCCATCTGAGCTGTATGAGAGAATGTCTCCTGTGTAATTTGCAAACTTCTATTAAACTATAGCAAGTACAATATATAGTATTTGTGCATGCTTGTGTGTGTGTGTGTGTGTGTGTGCACGCGTACGCGCGCGCACACACCCCTCTCTCTGAAGGCTATATATATTCAATATGACTGATAAGATTCTAAGATCAGTCTGTCTGTATCATGAGATAATAATGTTGGTCTCAGAACTGTGATGCTGATGATGTCACAACCAGGTGGTTTTAATGTAAAGTTCATTCCCACATGCAATGAGCAAGCTTGCTCACTGGCTTCCCCACTAAATCTCCCTTAGCCTGAAGTTGGCTAGAACATCTGAAGTCCTAGGGTAGAGTACATCTTAATATCTGAAGAAATGGCGAATGAGGAAACTCATAGTCCTGAGGTGAGTTGCCCTATATCCTTTTGCCATCATAAAGAGGCTGAGTCAAAAAGTAGAGCTGAGGTAAAATGGACTCTTGTAAGACTCCTAACAGGGAGTGAAATTGGGTAGAAGAAATTCTCCAGCAGTTGTTTAGGCGCCAAGGTTGGTCCCTGGCTGCAGCACCAACACTGTGACATTCCTCCAAATCCCTTTCTTCCAGAGGCAAGCAACAGCACCTGGACTGGCCAGCTGGCTGCCATTTTGCACCTTCCCAAATGACCTGGCCTAGTCTTGGCTTATTTTGGGAAGGGCTGGAGACAGCTGAAGCTCATTTGGAGAATAGTTTGCCAAAAGGGGCTTGCTTTTTGGAAGGAAGGGACTGAAAAAGAGAATGTTCAAAAATTCCTTTGAAAACAGTCTTATAAGTACATAAGACGAGCCCTGCTGGATCCGGCCAAGGGTATGTATGTATGTTTGTGTCTGTGTCTCTGTGTGTGTTTGTGTGTATCTAGATAGATATCTAGATATCTAGATAGATAGTTGGATAGATAGTTAGATAGATAGTTGATAGATAAATAGATAGAAAGATAGATAGATAGTTCATAGTTCTACATAATGAGGGCATGTTAACATTGTGCTATTAAATTTGAAAGATCTATCTGTCTGTCTGTCTGTCTATCTATCTATCTATCTATCTATCGCGGTTCTACATAATGGGTGCATGTTAACATTGCGCTATGATTGATTGATTGAGAGACAGACAGATAGATAGATAGATAGAGCGCAGTTCTACATAATGAGTGCATGTTAACATTGTGCTATTAAATTTGAAAGATCAATTTGTGAATACAGAACTGAGTAATGGCCATTTTCCTGTTCCCCAAATGGTTAATGGGATGCATTTGAGAAGCACACCAGGGTCTGGTATTCATGACTGGAACATGGATGTACTGTTTAGTTACTATGACTAATCCATGTATTTCCCTTCCCCTTGAAAGACGTCTAATTTAGCCAGAAATACCTGTATGGGAGGGCAGTAATTGCAAGGCACTTCTGGCACAATAGTAGTTCTGGTAGGATCAAATCTGTAGCTTCACACTTAGCCTTCAACTAGCTAATGTTCAAAGGGATGCCTATCTGAGAACTTTATTTGGCCTGCTTATTTTCATAGGCCAAACTGACTTTCACTTCTTTACTAATATGCAGATTGATATGCATTTATTCATTTGCTTTTGCACTTTTCAAATATTGCAGTAAGTTTCAAAAACATGCCAAAATGCCTACAAAATGACATGTTTAATACAAGCAATGTAAAGTGCATCTTTTGCACTAAAATATGTAGCAAAATATGTATTCAGTGACCAGTAAACACATGAGAAACTGACATGGACTGAAAATAGGATAAGCTTTATATCCCTAACTGTTCACTACTTCATTGTAGCCAAAGACATTCATGAGGGAAGGACTACCCTTCCCCAAACCACTGGAAGAATGAATTGGATTTTCCCTTCCCCTTCTGCCACTTGCCCAATATTAGCTATTCAGTAGTGAGTGCATGATTCTCAATCCAACTGGCTGTTCTAAGCCAAAGCAAGAGCGAGTTGGTTACTCCACTGGGTTTTAGTCTGAAATTGGCAAGAGCTATCCAAGGTACTGAATTTCACTTCCACACAAGTAGCCTCAGCACGCTGAATAGCTTCTTTAATATCCTTTCGCTAAAACCCAGAGCGGCTTCACTATCCCTCACAAAATGAGCGTCACCAGACTCCACTGGTGCAAGGCAGTGATTCTGCAAATGAGACACACTAATCAATGTAGTCACAGGGATGTGGTGGCGCTGCGGGCTAAACTGCAGAAGCCTGTGCTGCAGGGTCAGAAGACCAGCAGTTGTGAGATTGAATCCACATGATGGAGTGAGTGCCCGTCGCTTGCCCCAGCTTCCGCCAACCTAGTGGTTCGAAAGTATGCAAATGCAAGTAGATAAATAGGGACCACCTCGGTGGGAAGGTAACAGCGTTCCGCGTCTAAGTCGCACTGGCCATGTGACCACGGAAGATTGTCTTCGGACAAAACGCTGGCTCTATGGCTTGGAAACGGGGATGCGCACCACCCCCTAGAATCGAACACGACTGGACAAAAAATTGTCAAGGGGAACCTTTACCTTTACCTTTAAGCAACGTAGTTATAGCGTGTAGAGGAAGAATTGTGTGAGTGTATGAAACTGAGAAATCTTTTCTGTCTATTATGGCTTTTGAATCCTGTGGCTTCAGGAAAAAAAAGGCAGCAACCGGTCCCACATTCGAAATCCATTCAGTTTCTTCTCCTGGGGAACAAAAAAGGTAGGTCTAAGGGCTGAATCCTAGCTTTGGTGTAATCTAGACAGTAGCTGTGTTAGTCTGTTGTAGCAAAAGAGAAATTGGAAGTCAGGTAGCACCTATAAGTGGAACTAGTTTTTATTTTCCATAAGCTTTTTTCTCTCCAAGCAGACTTTTTCAAATGAATAGAGCGGCTTTGTCTAGCTTAGACATGTAGTAATTAAATACTGTATTTTTTCTGTTTATATGTGCCCCCCCCCACTTTTCTAACCGCCAAATTAAGAAAACCTAGCTTTGAGGAGTCAGCCTCTTGGCTCAGAACGCTCATGAGTCCCTGTTGCATCTGAGCCTACAGGCTCCACCTCCAAGGAGGTGTGTTCCAATTGGTTTGTTTTTAAAAGCCATTTAAAAACCTGGCTCTTTAGGCAGGCCTTCCCTCCAGTCAGTTAACTGATCTTTACTCTTTTTCTTTCTAATCACCTCATTTTGGCAAGGATTTATATGATTGTTAAAATTTTTGTTTTAAATGTTTTTATGATGTTGTTTCTGTGATGTTTTTATTATGTCTTGGAAAGCATTTATATGATTGTTAAAAATTTTATGTTTTAAATGTTTTTACGATGTTGTTTCTGTGATGTTTTTATTATGTATGTAAGCTGCCCCGAGTAGACTTTGTCTAGGGGGGCGGGGTAAAAATCTAATAAAAGTAAAAGTAAAGTTTGTTCAGCATCAGCTGACGTCAGTTCTCTAAGGCTCGTGATGAGGGAAGCTAAGTCTCCTGACTGTAGGAAGCTAAGCCTCCTGACTGAAGGAAGCCTGTTTACAGAGGCAAGGTATGGGCAGTTTTGTTCTCTACTTGTTCTCAGCTTACTTCCATGTATAAGACGCCCCTCAATTTTTAGTGTAATGATTTTAGGAAAAAGTAGCATCTTATACATGGAACATACAATAGCCTCTGGCTAGATTTCAGCCAGCATATCTTCTCCCTGGCCACTGTGATGTTTTTACCAGAACACCCTGGTTTAAGAGCTATACAACACTTGGAAAATAATCAGATCTTGATATGGTACCAAAAGACAAAGAAGGTCCCAAGTGGGCCTCTCTTGGGAGGTATTCCATAACTGGGGTTTCACCACCGGAGAAGCCCTTTTCCTAGTAAATGTCTGTTGTCACTCCAAACATTTGAAAGAACTATTGAAAATTATCTCTGGTTTTAGGTGGACCTTTGAAGTCACTTGGGTATTTTCTAGACAGGGCACTTCACTTTTCATGTTCTCCCTCACTTTTCTCTGAAAGCGTGTGGGTTTTACCTGGATTTACTGGGATTCGTTTCCACAAGTTGCAATGCCCTATACAGGAACCAAGCAAACAAGATAAAATATAAGATGAAGGAGATGCAGTCTTTCATTGTCACAATTTGCTGGTTCTACAGCAGGTACAGGTTGGTGAGATCAAAAATGCCTGTGGACAGCACCAAGGAAATTAACTGCCACCATGTCCTTCCATCTTATTCCCCCCCCTTCTTTTTTTTGTAAATGTCATAGTTAAGGTAAAGGTAAAGGTTCCCCTTGACAATTTTTGTCCAGTCGCGTTCGACTCTAGGGGGCGGAGCTCATCCCCGTTTCCAAGCCATAGAGCCAGCGTTTTGTCCGAAGACAATCTTCCATGGTCACATGGCCAGTGCGACTTAGACACGGAACACTGTTACCTTCCCACCGAAGTGGTCCCTATTGATCTACTTGCATTTGCATGCTTTCGAACCGCTAGGTTGGCGGGAGCTGGGACAAGCGACGGGCGCTCACTCCGTCGCGTGGATTCGATCTTACGACTGCTTGGTCTTCTGACCCTGCAGCACAGGCTTCTGCAGTTTAGCCCACAGCGCCACCACGTCCCTACAAAATGCCATAGTTACATGCAGACATACATTTTTGAATGCAGGCCAGAAAAAAAAATGTAATCAAAAAGAATGCGAACAAAAAGAAAGGTTTTGAATGAATACAGTTCTTCTAAGGCTTGAATCTAGTCACTAACATCAACTAAAGCAGACGTAGAATGAATAGGTAAATAGTAAGTTAATCCTGATGTAATTTTGATTGAGTCAGTGGGTTTAGTTGTGAGCAGAGCAATCCACATTTTCAACCGGGGGGGGGCGATGACTTGGACCTGATGCCACAGCACGTGGCGTACAAAACGGCTACAGAAACTAAGCTGGAGACACTTCTTTGTGCTGCTCGTTTACCTCTGAGCAATTTCACCCTTCTCTCCACCCAACCTCCTCTGCCAAAGAGTCGTTAGTCACAGCCTGTTGCCCTCTCTGATTATTTCCCCTTTGATTCCCCATCACAGGATGATTACAGCTGTCGCCTCACATTCAGAGAGAGGGGCTTTGCTTTTAACCTCACATTTTTCCTCTCTCAGCCATCAATAGGCCTGCTGGGAATAGCGCAGACCTCAGTCTTGCTGCCAGGGCAACCCAGAGAGGGGGCAGGGTTGACTGGGCTGGCAGGGTGCCTGTCACCTGATTTGTATCCACACAGCTTACAAAATGGAAGCCACGGGCATATTGGGTGGGTGGCCAGAATCTGACTGGTGTTCTTGTAAGGTCTGTGTAAACTTACTGAGGCACAATGCAGCTAATGGACAAGGGCGTGGAGTGCATCTCAGTAGGGTGGTTGGTCATGCGCGGATTGTACTACTGAGAAGCACCTAGCACCTTATCAATTAGCCACAATTGCTGAGGTGCTGGGCCAGTATAGTCTACAGACTTTGACTGGGGTATAATTTCTACTATGAACAAGAAGGATCTTGGAATTGTAGATCACAAGCTGAATATAAACTGAAAGTGTTATGCCAAATAGAATAATA